CGCGATCAAAATTAAGAATACACTAGGAACAAGTCGGATCCTGCATAAGACATGATTTTCTAGACCTCAATTACAAAGAAGCAACAGCTAAAGCAAAACTTGGAACTCTGTTTAAAAGAGGAGAAACTGTGTCAAATGCTATTTAGTCAGATCGAGACTAAAGATGTTAACGAGAGAAACAAACTTAATTTGGAACCTATTACCAGCTAAGCGTGGACCATGTAATCATGAACGGAGGCATAAAAGAGTTTACTCGCTGCCATTAATCACGGCTAACAGATTTAAGAACTCACTTATTATTATGCACCATGCAGCCAAGGCCATTTGATAGTTCAGATTTCATTACTATATTTATCGTATGTGTATAGATTATCCATTGTTTTAAAACATGTAATTCAGTCTCACGACTGCCAGATGTTATTTTAATAAACGACTTATCTCTCTCTCTAAGATTTCTAAATTTTGCTCACATGATTCACTAGCTCTTCAGTCTAAACTGAGTGTTACTACTCCTATTTTTGAATGAGATTACAGAATTCAAGACGAAAAAGGAAGCGATAGAGAAAAAAAATCTAGGAGAAACCGAAAGAGAAAGGAGACAAAGCAACTTTTGTTTTTTAAATGTTAAGGAAAAATGATCCCGCTTAAGTGACAACTTCCTATGCATCGTCACTGCACACTATGCTTCACCAGCTTCATAATTCACCCACAATGATCACTTGTGATATGTTAATAGGAAATGTTTGCTAAATAATGCTGTTCTTGCATACTTTAGAAGAAATCGTTCGGACAATGTCACGGGACATTTTTATCGCCCTGTGATCCAAAAACAGCTCGTGTACGACCCGCAAGGTCACCGGGAATTAGGTCCAACTGATTTGTTTATGAAATCTCCTTTCTTATCAATATCATAAACCTCCAAGTTGTCTTAAAAGGATCATGTATAATTTCATTTTCCGATGATTATTGTTTCTTATGTAAAATTTCATATGCTAATCCGTCTCACAAGTGTTAAGATTATATTACCAGCGAGAATATATTCTGGCACGATAAGCAATTTTAAGGTTGCTCTCGACGAATGGATGATGTTCCTGTAAAACTAGAAGTCTTTAGGTTCTATATTTGGTGGTGAAAGGATAATTTGAGTAAAACCAACAACGATATTAAAAGTGGTCGATATTGGCGAACTCAGGTCATTTTTAATCTCATTTGGCAGAGTATTCGTGTTCTTTCAATGCGTTCATTCGATTCCTTGTGTCAATAAAAGCGGAAAGATTACAAATACTGTTCTTTTGAAGAATTACTTTTACTCTTCACTTACCGTTATATCTTCGTGGAATTATTATGCTGCCAAACACAAGGGTACTTTAGACCGAAGCCGGCGGTCAACCACTAACAACTTCTTGTTTTTTTTTTTAATTCTTACACGGTAAGAGCTTGGAGACGAAATTTGACCAGATGTTTTTCAATCTCACGCAACGTTACCGGAGAGCGCAGACCTCGTCTACGACTGTTGGGTACCACGCGCACTATTTGGATACCGGTTCCAGAAATGTATTTTTTTTAATTTTTTTCATTTCCTAATTACATTTGAACTTCTTCTATTCTCGTCAAGGGACCAACGTAAGTGACAAAAACCGTAGAGTTTCATTCCGCATAGAGCATGTGATTTTAATCCTTACAATTCATCGATCACTGATGTGTGACCATAAAAATAACTTTGGAAGGGCAGAAGGCTCTCTAAATAATCTGCAGTTGTAAATCCTTTGCAACTTGGAGTAGCGGTTGAACACGTAGTCGGACAAAATTGTCCACGACCATTTGAGGCCCGCCGTTTCGAAAACCTGAACGGAAATCAACCTCAGAGTTAAGTGAATTGTATACTAGTGGAGTGTCTAGCGCCTGGTTCTTGAAAACTAAGTGGAATGAGCAAGACCTCCTCGAGATTACCCAAGTAAAATATCTGAAGTGAAAAATTAGCTGTACATTGACATACACCTAGTTGTCAAAGGAAAAAAGCGAACATAAAAAACAATATACAAAAAAGCCAAATAGGACTGGATTTATTGGCATATAACACTACCCTCTGATTATAAGTGATATAGGCCCGGCAGCCGGACAATTTTCACAGAGTTCTTTTTGCCTTTTTTTTTTTAATTACAACGTTGCTGCAATTTGGTGTGTATTTATACAGTAACTCTACACTCTAGGTATCAGCGGGTCAGGCCATTTGTAAACAGTATTAGCATGGAAAGGAAAAGAGAGATTTTTTGTGTTTGTTGTTGTTTGCGACCAAACGCACTCGTGAGACAACATCCTTCCGCAGCGACCAAAACTTCACTGATTAATTCATGCGTCAATCACAAACCCATCTTGCTCTCGCGCGAATCATTACTACGCAGGAACAGTAGATTAACGATTTTGATTAACGCACGCGCTACTTGTGCTGACGTTGAAGCCAACTGTTTTCCAAATTGTTACCAATATCTGGACCCAGGGTGCGATTCATGGCATTTGAGCAAAAGTGGCGTTCAAATGCTTCGTTCCCCTTGAAAGAAAGAGGGTGAGATGGACGTCAATCCTGCCTAGACTAGCGGACTAAATTGTTTTTAGAGTGTAATTCTAACAGGTTTGAAGGAGACTTTCTCTCGTAGTTTGTTGTTGTCAATAAAATGTCATTAAAAAAACCTATGGAAAAACAGAAGAGCTTGCTTGGTAGTCTTGGCAGCCATAGGGTTGTTCTTAGCTTCGG